AGGATTTGGGGTGTTAAAAATTGCTATACAGGGACTTAAACGGAACGAAAAGTGGAATTCGTTTTGAGTTATTAACATGCCGCCTCTAAATTTTTTTCTGTCGCCATATTTCTATTAATGCTCCCAAATTTTGACATAGCATTACAGTCCACCAAATAATTGTGTAAACCCCATGGGGTTTCTTCTTTCTGGATTAAGGAAATAACATCTAATAGCGACAAAGACAGATTTGCGATATTAAATGGCGCAATATTCACAACATGTACTTTTGAAACTCAGAAAGTATATGTAACGATAGGTGGACCACAAAAATTATCGATAAGTTTACAATAATTTTGAAAGCAGAAAAACTACCTCTCCGAGCAACAATACAGGAGGCAATATTTGTTGCAAAGTAGATTATCCATTTTGCAATTTTCATGCCTGCGTTTGATGCTTAATTATGAGTATTTTCAAAGGCACACCAGCATGACATGCAGCCGTTAGACAGTTTGTTGCATACAGTTTCAAAACTTTTTTACTTTACTGATGCCTTTTGGACGCTTTCATCACCAAAAGGGTGTTCAAAAATTACGCATGCTCCTCCTTTTAAGAAAAATGAACTTAGGTCAACAAAGCATACGCGAAAGTGTTCCCGGAAAGGCACTTATTATATCAAATATGTTGTCTAAAACCATTCAGAAAGTAATTTTTGTTTCTGCTTACCGTTAATGGCAAGTCCAATCTTCTAAAGGTTGCTTTTCACTGGGCCACTATATTCTCGATTAAAAAGATCCATATTACAAGATTTTCTAAACTGCGATATTTCCATTTATACGACATCGCATCATCCCGTCTGTAAATGCTTCTTAAAAAGCATATAACCAGGTTTACATGTACTGCGCGGTTTTATGCGTACTCATAACGACCCACAGCAACGTGGGTTTTTCCATGTCGGAAAGTTTGGGGTTTGCATTTTGTAAACCCTCAATGCGACTGTAAAGGCAGGTGGCGCCAAACAATATTCTGGTAGCGACGTCGTTCTTAAAATCTGAAAACGCCTTCAAGGGAAAACCTTGGAGAAGACGTAATTTTCCTTGTACATGGTTGAACGAAACATAGTGTTTTGTTCGTTTTTCATAAAGTTTTTTAACCCACAGGTTTATCAAATTCGATAGGAGCAATTGCTACTGCATAAGCAACCATTCTAGATACTATGCTTTATAGAAGGCCAGGAAGATTCTTAGTCGAAAGTTAGCATCATCGTTGGTTTTAAATAATTAAGAATTGTGTCGCATGAGTATGTGTGCTACAAACCTTCCTCAAATTAGTTTATTCGAATCAGGAACCCATTTCTGAATTTGGTAGACATTTCTTGACGCAATTTTACTGTAAGCAGTGGTGCACGAAATAATACGAATAGCATTAACGGATTAAGCACTGCTTGACATAAGATGAAGCAGATAAAAGCAAGACTGTATTCTAGACCCTGCTTGTGTGACACTCCTGCTGAACATTGCCAAGAAATTCAGATTTTTCAGGTCATATTTTGGGTGTCTGCTCAAAATTTTTATGATGCTGCGGTCTCAAAAGCTGTCATTTATCGCAATGACCGAAATCAATTTATTGATATACACATTCCAGTCCGAACATGTACGAAGTATGTGAAACAAAAAAATTAGTTTACAATACATCTCAAACGTCTTATTCAGTACTGATACCTACATCTCGACAAAATATTTTGCATTCCTTCAATCCACAAATAATTTGCGCAATTTAACAGCTCTAAGTTAACAGTGAGCTTTGGCAAGAACAGGCCTTGGGTTATGATTGCGTCTAGCTAAGTCAAACCCTTATCCTTAACATTGCACATGACTTGATGTATAGGTTTTTATAAACGCCTTCAGGTCCTTCTGCTCATCATGATCTATCTGCCTTCTATTGACTAAATCTAGCTTTTCTGTTGATATATCCTGTAAAGGGGCAAACTATGTAGAACGAGGTTTAAGTGCTTCATGCATAACTTTCTTGAAACTTATTGCCAAACAGACAACATATCAGCGACTACGAGAGCCATGACGCTAAGAAATTTCTGGCCCTGCTAATTCGGTTTTAGTCGACTTAAATACAAGCATGCAAGTTGTTTGTACTTGTTGATGGACTGGCAAGTGAGCCATGATGAAGCAGCTGCCGGCTCACGCGGTTGTCATTTTTAGTGGCAATTTCTGTCTTGTCAGAAAAAACACCCATGCATAGCAATGAAATAAAAAAGAGACTTGTAATCGACTGCTCTGCTCGCTATTCATAGCATAATAGAAATTAGCAATTCCCTGTTCCCACCACTTTCTCGCGGATGAAGAGAGGCATGGGTCTTCAATTTTCAAACATGGGATTGAATGGACGCTGTTCTGCTGGCCATCTTTACTGTAATATTGGGGTACTAATATTTTCAGAAATCGGCCTATGATGGCTTCTTTCTTAAGTTCCATGTACACGGATATATAAATTAGCCTGTGAAGCATACAAAAACGGCCGAAAATTAGTCGTCGGCGGAATTTGCCAACCCAATTTGAAGAGACTCAACAAACTGAATCTGCCGTCGGCGCATAGACAATAACCAATCGACAAAGCCGCATTTCAATGGTGTACAACCAGATCGTCCGGCACTTAAAAATGTCCATTCGTGCACTACGAACGTCGCAACTGCCTAAAAAAAGTGAGACGGGCGAGGAATAACCACCTGCACATCTACGATGTTCCAGGGCATGGGTCGCGCCAGAGAGGACTGACGGTCTACTTACCCTGCCAACCAATTCCTGGGAGCTTTGGCTACCAGCACGTCGGCTACAAGGAAAAGCAGGGCACGAAGTAAACTAACAGAAGTGCCGTATGTAGAAGCGGATAAACTGGTCGAATTTCACCGTGTACGATAGAATATTTTAATCCTTTTGTCAGAATTAAAACGATCTATTTTATGAAAATTGCATTAGCGATTTAAGTGTGCGCAAAAAGAAGAGATGCTGCATATACGTTCTGAGCAAACCTGCCGTGGTTATTGATTTGTTATGTACGTAGAAATGTTTGAGAGTCCCGACGAGGATCTTAGTAGTATTCACTCAGTTCATTTAGACGAAACTGAAGACCTCAGTGACAATGCTTCTTGTGCAATCAAATGTCAATCAAAAAACGCCTGAAAACGCGTCTACATTCCAACTGCCAATCGACATTTGAATGGTGGCTATACGCTTGAATGTTCCACCAAATGTCCGACGCGCGTTCTATAAGCACATCTGCTGATTGGCAGGGTGAAGTGCCGTGAAGATTGCCACAATGATTGCAATCGTTACGGCTGTGAATGTGAAATTAAATGTCGTGAATTTTCAGTAGATCGGCCAAGATACTCCAATATGCTCCGCGCCCAAATAGACTTGTGATTTATTACCTCTTGGTGATAGGTCTCCTCTGTTATCTATTTACTGCAAGATGGTGGATCGTCATCCCCTCGGAGGTTTCCATAATCAGAAATGCAAGTAACTGCCATTCCGGTTGGCAGCGTCTCGAGTACTGGCCTAAGACTAACACCTACGAGTTATCACTCGTAGTGCAGGTTGAGAAGGACAGTCATGTCGGCAGCAGAAGTGCCGACCGGTTTGTCCTCGCTCGACGAATCTGACGACGTCGTTCACACCGACGAACCTACACATTTGAGGACATGGCGGAGATTGAGGATTACAACTGGAGACGCCCGATTCCTCGTTCAGCCTACCTGCTTTATCCACAGGCATTGGATATGAAGCAGGTAGTTGCAAATATTAGGAACTGCTCTATCATACCTGAGGTACGACAATTGCACTGTATCTATCGCGAGGAAAATTTAAATAACACATTGATTACTGTGTATGCCACTTTTGAATGCATGTTGGTGTAAAGCAGAAGTCAGTCACGAGATCCCTACTATGTATCTGCACGCACTTCATAGTTTTTAGCATTTCAGCAGCCTGCATTTTGAACTTATGTCTTTGCTGGGGATAATATGAATCTCCAGACAGGAGGATTCTTGGGTTCTCATCGGAAGTGTCAGTGTCTTCGATTTTTTTGGCAGATATGTGCTACTTTCAGAGTATATTGTGCGCAGCAGTTCATGGACAAAGTCAGGCCTCATGGTAGTTGCATTTTCAAATGCCAGTTATTAAAACAACATGTGCAGGTGATCGGTGGTCAGAAACTGCGCAGGAATAAATAAGGCACATCGTCTACAATCAAATAAGCCAATTAAGAGGAATTAATCAGAAGACCTGCTCACTTGTAAGGCAAGTAGATAGATTAAAATAATTTCAATAGCTTGCAACTTGACGAACCTCATTTGGCGCAGAGCGCTCATGTTGCAAACACCCCCTTAATTCTTCATCATACGTTACATTCAGTGTATTTCCTTTCCGTTTTTAATCTGGATGGCAGATATTTTGAACTCCCTACGGGATTCGATAACGATAGAAAGAATGCCGATGTCTAAATAATATTTGGACATTTGATTGGCTGAAGTATTGCTGCAGTAAATGTGCGATTGAAAAAAATTCCCATATTTCGGCACCAGACTGTTGACATAAGATTTCCCACAATTGGACCATCATTTAGTAAAATATATTCCTCAGGGACATCAATAGAGACAACGCTTATGCGGGCATTTTGGCAAGACCGGTTGGTGGACATAACGTAGAAAATGTTCGGCTTGATAACTTCGAGGAGAATTACATTATTAACTGACAAAATATATAACAATCGTTAATTATATGGCCTCCCATTATTGATCATCCACTTTCCTTCTGCAGGCCCCTACATTCAATCAAACAATTTGATTTCTTAATGTCAGCTCGACCGTCTGCGTGCCAGGGCAATCAGTCGAGAGTACTCTGGATGCCATTGTGATAGTGAAGTCCGCTGTCTACAATTTCGCTGATCGGGCTCGTCTATGGAGGGTTTATGCTAAAGAAACCCAGCGCGAATCTGAATTCCGCATAGCTATGGTCTTCTCAGTAGGTCTGCCCCGAAGCAGCGGAGGTCGGTCCTTCCAACGTGACGGCTTCAACATCTCACTGCCAGACCGGGCAGGAGAGGCCATGGAGAAGATGCAAACAAGGAGATCAGAGGTTCTGAGAAATCTGGCAGAAGAAGCTCGAGTGAACGGCGACCTCCTACTGGGAGACTTCGAGGACACCTATTACAACCTCAGTCTTAAATTATTAGACACATTTCAATTTGCCTCTTTTTTCTGTCTTCCGCATTTCACCTTTCAAAAACGACTTCCTGTCTTCATACTCCTTGATGATGATTTCGCCTTCAATGTAGGCATTATGAAGGCCGAACTGAGGGACCTCACTGACACACAAATACGACGGGTGACTTGGGGACGGCCACATAATCATTTCAAGGTTAGTCGTCCGTTACCCTTAAGGGTCAACTCAAAGTGGTCCGTCTCCAAGCGCGAGGTGCCCTGGCCTAACCACGCGCCGTTTGCCCCCGGCAACTTCTACGTCATTGGCGCTGATGTTCTCCAGGAAATAGCATTAACCATGTACTTTACTCTGCAGCTTCCAATAGACGATGCCTGGTTAGGCTTGGTCATGTCAAAGTTGGATCTCCACTTTCAGTCTCGTCCACATATGTACAAAAAAGTGCCGAGGGGTGTTAGAAAGGATTTGGTTCTGTTTGCACCCCTTGACTACCTCTAGCCTTTAAAATGACTTAAAATTAAGCCTGCTTCATAATTTTCTTATGAAGGACATCCCTTACCGAGCCAACTACTTTTTTTCTGATAATGTCGGTTCATAAATGTAATGCTTTCGGGACATGGTACGGTGGCGGAAGGATTTAATAAACTCGTTTCGTCGACGCCATAATCATTTATTCAATTATGCCCGTATATTTAAGGATTATTCTTAAAAATAACGTAAGGGTGAGGCTAAAGTAAGACCATTGCGATAAGATGGTAAATTCGCGATAAAAGTGGCTAGAAAACGATTTAAGATATGACAAAAAAAGAGGCCAGGTTCCTGAAATACAGGGATGGTCGTAATTTCGGTTTCGTGGCTGTAGTTACAGATATCGACAAGTATCTGCTTCCGGCTTATAAGACTATGGACGTAAATTTAAACTTTTCGTCTTTTTATATATACCAATAATTCTACAAGTAAGCGGAGTAAAATAAAGATAAAAGAGAATTCGCTAGATGTTCCGAGTGATTAGATACCATCCCATAAATGGATATCATGATAAAATAGAAAAGTGAAAAATTAAATAATCGGACGCTTTCTTGAAAGAAAAGACGTATAAGAGTCAGTCGTGGGGCAGGCGATATAATATGATTAGATTTATGCGAACGGACACCGTGTGTTTAGACGAAAAGCCATTCCATTTATACGCCAGCAGATATTTTCTAACTAGTCTTGGCCTACTGTCAAAATGAGTCATTAGAGCAAAATCTGAAAACCGAAAGCCGTTAAAGATGCCTACTGAAAACGTTGGTAATTTTTGAACAAATATTTGATTCATTTAAAGCAAATAAATGAAAATATTATATCTCACATCACATGATTTACAACTTCCTTCTTCGAAGATGTGTGCGCATCCCTGTTACGGGAGCGCGGACCTAAGCATTAGAAATCTCACCAAAAGTTTACAATCAGAATTCGACAGGTTAATAAATGCCATTAACGTGGACCCCTTGAGGACACGCAGAATAGATAGTTGTAAAATGTCACGGCCTTGCAGGAACGTACCAGAGATTGGTAGAAATCATACGCTTGGTAAAATACCTGGTCGGTGTAATCTACGATGTTTAATTTCTAAGGAACCTAATGCGCGAACTTGGAGAAAATCTCGTGACACTAGCCTTTTCAGGCACGGTCCAAATCTTGATATGAATATATCAACTGAAATCCGGTAGCTACTGTTGAATAACCGCTTAATATTCACAAACCGCCAACAGGCAGCCATTAATATAAAATTGTACGACAATTTACCGTACTAATAACTGTGTTGTTTGTACTGTAAATCTTGGCACAGTTCGATGCGTTGACTATGTAACAGGGCCTGTTGCCAGAATGCGATTAATAGACGGCATTCGAAGTGCAGTATAACCCCATATATTTCAATAACTCAGTGGCCATAGCGAATGAAATATAGTTTGTGCCAATGTTGACCGTGTTGGAGATGAGATTTTGTGAGCTACCCTGCAATTAATCAAATAATATTTCTAAAAACGAAATGTACTCAGGCTTGACGCATGAAATACGGAAAGGACAGTATGTGCTTCCAAGTCCAAATATGGCTACAATATGTTTCTCGGATTTTCTACGAAAGAGATCTTAATGCGTAATGATATTGACAGACAATAAAGTCATATTACATGTGTACCAAATTTTGCTGTGTTTACGTTTTGCAGATGATCAAAAGTATTTTGTTTCAAAGCGTGCAAAATGGCACTAGTGGACAGTTTCATTAATATACTAGAAAACAATTAATATTGCGATGCTGCTCAAGTAATCTTATCGAATCGAAAATACATCTCAAAACTTCGGAGAAAGTTACGTTCGAAAATTAGCATGTGAAGCGTACAGAAGTGGTCGAACATTAATCGATGGCGGAACTTAGTCTGGCACAATGAAAGACCTCCGTAAAGTGCAGTTTTTGTTTACGAATATTGAACTATTAGTCGGTAAACGCAGATCACACGGTCTGATGACCCAGACTTCGAAATCTTGAAATTTACACCCACGTGTTTTGACCGTGGCAGCTGCAGTAGATAAAATCCACGAGATTTTGGACGGGTCAGATGAACACAGCTGCACATTCGTGATGTCCCAGCACATATGGTTTGCGCAGAGCAGATGCATAATTTATTTACTTTGTTTGAAATTCCAAGATTTATGTTTACAGATTTCAAGGACAAGGGCGAAACGCGTCTTAAACCACCGGATGTGTCATAAGACAGGTCATGAAAACTGGTTAAGTCTCGCCAAACTAACAGTCCAATTTATGTTAAGTTATATTTAGTTCATTGTAACCGACATTTTTTGGGATTTAAATGCAATTTAAGCGCAGGCTATAATCGCGATGCAACAACTATTTCTGTTAAAAAAAAGTACGGTAAAAAATCCACTTTTAGGTTTCACACAAAAATACGACTTCTGTTTATTATGATGCGTTTTCAGAAGTCTTTAAACCCTCATCATAAGAAGTGGCGTATGAATTCGGGGAAATCAAGTAAATTTCCTATTCCCTCCTCATCCTGAGTGTCAATCAAAATGCAAATGTTAACAGACGGTGGGATTGCTTCTAGCAAAATGGATTTTTACTTTAGGTCATAATTCCTCAATTATTCTCAGAAATTCGTGACATGGAAAAGACGCAAACTGAATAATACATCTGTAAAAATGTGGTCTCACTTGCTGTAAAATGCTGATTATGTGAAATACCCCAGTAAAATAATGTAGTGCAGCTCTTTCGAAAGCAAATTCAAAACCCTCGAGACAGCTGAAATATTTAGCAATCAACATGGCGGCACACATTTTGCAGGCCATGATTTTCAGCCACAGAATCCTCAGACATTCATTCTATAATAATTCAGATACCTAAAGATGAGGGTTTTCGAACAAACTTCTAGGCTATCTTCAAAACCTACGCTCTATAATAATTCACTCCTCGATTTACATGCACTTTTCTCATTAATATTCTATGTCCATAAGAAAACAATCCGGTTTTAATAAAACAATGCATAAATACATTAATAATTCTGCTCATGAAGAAGACAATTGCGTCTTCCTTCAATTTCATAATCACATGAAGGTTATAAGGCTGTAGCTTCAATTTATCTTAGCAGGGGTATTCGCTGAACAAGCGTTACGGGTTTGGGTTCGCGTTTTGCGGATTGACTTAAGGTTACGGTTACGCCAGAGATTGTCTTAAATACTCACATTTTGAGAGGTCATATTTAATGCGCGGCTTTGGTTGGCGTTAGTTGTCTCACGAACGGGTTGCTCTTCATACATCTCCCAAAGAGCGGTTTCGAAATTAAAAATATTGTCCCTTAGGCATCTTTTATCTGTGTTTTTGATTCTTTCACCATCGGTTCTATTTGCTGGCCTCCCGACTCCTTTTGAAGCAACGACAGTCTTTTTTATGTACACACAACGCTTTCTGCTTCATACGTGTGCAGGGATTTCGACAGATCCCAAACTCGAACTGACTATTTCTATAGAAAGAACATTGGTTTATTATCAGAAATATCCATGATAGTTATTTGCAGGTTTCACAGTCAGTTTTGGACAAGTTTGCATTCCTGAAAAATGACACCTTAAAAACTGGCATTTCCACACCGCATGCGTGGCCCATATACATCGAGCAAGTCAGTGTTGAAAAAAAAATAAGAATAATATGGACGGCGGGTGGGGAGCCGAATCCTTGCGGCCTAAGCAAATGGCGTACCTAAGTGCCAAATATGCGTATGCTGAACTATTATCATCGTCGACAAGATCGAAAGCGAAGCGACAAGGCGTTAATGACCATGAGTCCATAAACAACGCAAATTATTGGGATGAAAATCTTCGGCAATTTCGGTCATTGCCACCGGAGCCGATGGTGACCCACGCCCTCCAGAATTGTCCTTTATTTTAATCTGGTAAAGTCGCATCAGAGGATGTGGAGGTAGAAGGATATTGTGCTTGTTAATTGAATGCAGACCTGAAAAGCATAAGTCGATCAGACTGCATTTTCTTTTGGGTGACACCTCCTGCAAACTTTTTGCGGCATCGTACCTGAAATTATGACCAGTCTCATAAATATAATTCACGACCTGTAGACAACCGTTATTCTTCTCCATTGCGGATGCATGTTCGTACATTTTCCAAAAGAGAAATATTCCAGATTCTAACAGAGAACTTGAAATAGTCTTGGCTATTGTCTGTCCGCCTGTCGGAAAGTGTTTGTTGCGTTGATACTGCATCGGATCTACATTTGCCCAATGGTGTCGTTCCGTGCGGGTATGGTTGGGTTAGGGTATTTGTGTGGTTAGTCCATAGTATACACGTCTTGTGGACCAACATGTTTTGCCAACTCCAGCCCACAATGAAACGCTCTATTCGTGAGAGTCAAGAGTGAGGTCATCCAAACTCTCGGGGCGATTTGGGTGTGCTTGAGCGACATCTTCAAAGCATTATACGATTTCGCTTAGGTGGTCAACGCGACTGGACCAATTCAGTTGGTAGACCAGAGTCCTGCGGATTTAATCGGGAATGCGCATTTATAACATGTGGTGAAATTGAGGTGTGATAACTATATAGAAGATGCCTACGTAATTGAGTAGGACACTGTCAAAGATCTCACTAAAGTTCTGAGAAGGATGATACCGTTGTTAACCCATCCATAGCCTCAACAGTTAATCTTGAATTAGGCTGAATCGTAAATTAAGCTTAAATTGACATTTGGCATAAACAACAACTCGTTAAATCTGTCTACTAGAGTAAAAAGTACTTAAATACTTTTCTCAAATTATTTCGGAGAGAATCTGACAAATTCTGACCAACATTATCTAATGAGATTAATAGTTGCCTGAATTATCCAAAACATGTTACCTTCAAAAAATAAGTCCTAAGCGCATCCCCCAAAAGCGCATAAGGGATAATGAAGGGCCTCTTCTTAAAAATGGATAATTTAGATCATTTTATTTAATGCT